GGCTGCACCGGCGGTTCTGGCTTGAAAGCCAACGCCTGAGCCGCCAACACGGCCGCACAGCCGGGACCGCGGCCCCCACGCCCCCGGGAACCCCACGAGGCCGAGTCGGTCCGAGTGGCAGCCCGTTCCACCCCGGGCCTCGCGGCATTTTGCCAGTGCAAAGCCAAGCTGCAGACTCCCTGGCCAGGTCACCAGCTCACACACCCCCGCCCGACAAGCCCACACCATCCCCTTCCACCGCAAACTTATCCCACCGCCCAGTTTTCTGCCCCCTTCTCCGCCAACCCCTCCCCCAAGAGCGGGCAGGCGGCAGCCATTAGGCCACGCTGGGAGAGGCGGCCCGACCAAGACAGAGTCGGCAATCGATCGCCATCCGACCCATGCACCGCGCGAGACAGGCTCCAGGCTAGTGTCCGGGCAAGGAAAGGCAACACTCGTGCTCCCGAAGGCCCAAGGTCGTGGAACCCACTCACCATCCTGCGGAAAAGAGAGCAGCGTCCGCGGATCGCCACAGACCGGCAGGGCGAGCGGCTCTACAGGGGGTGGGAAAAGGCCGAGGCCGGTGCGCAGGCGCAGTATGTAGCATCCGCGATCACGCAAGTGACGTGCTGAAGAAGGAAAGCTCCGTCTCTAATGCGTGTGACGTGCTGCCACCTGCTGACGGGAGGGTGAATTGCCCAACTTGCTCTCGCCACCAATTCCTGGCTTTGAGGTGCCGACAAAGATGGGAAAAGAGAAGCTGGGAGAATTATAAGAGACTTTCACTACCTGTGCTAGGGAATTTTTCCGTAACAAATTTAAATATTACCCACTACTGGTGGGAAAGTTCAAAAATAAAATAAAGTGAATTTGTTCTGCAGCCCTCTTTCTTCCTCCAGGAGCCTACCTCCAAGGCCACTCATCCCAGTTCCAGAGCACACAGTGCCACCCAGGAAGCCTTTGCGTGGGAATGCCAAGCCTGAGGGGAGGGCTCCTCCTCTGCACGCCCACAGCACCTGCTTGTCTGTTTCAGCTCACTCAGACCGCAAAGTCCCTTAGAGCAGGCCCTCGGGTCAAGGCTCAACACTGAATGACTTAAAATCATCTTGACATTCGCTTAAAACACACACACACACACACACACACACACACACACACACACGCTCGCTGCCGTGGAGTGGATTCTAACTCACAGCGACCCTATAGTAAGGACTTCCTAAACATTACTAAACCTTGGTGCAAGTGGTTCAGAACTCTGCTGCGAACTAGAGGTCAGTAGTGCCAACCCACCAGCTGTTCCCAGGGAGGCAGACATGCAGTCTGCTTCCATAAAATTCTAATCCACAAAACTCACTGCCATCAGTCGATTCCCAGCCACAGCGGCCCTACAGGGCAGAGTAAAACAGCCCTTGTGGATTTCCAAGATTGTTCATTTTAATAGAAGTCAAAAGCTTTTCTCCTCTGGATCGGCTGGTACTTTTGAACTGCAGGCCTTGAAGATGTGGTTAGCAGCCTAATGCAACTCAGGGCTCCCTTGTGAAGCAATTCTACCCTGTCCTGTAGGATCTGTGATTATTGGAATCCACTCGTGCAGCAGTGCATTGACAGGAAACTGCTAGAAGTGCAGGCCAGATCGAGAGGAGCACATGGAACAAAGGATATCATTGCTGATGTCAGATGGATCTTGGCTCAAAGCAGAAAATTCCAGAAAGGTGTTTACTTGTGTTTTGTTGACTAGGCAAAGGCATTCGACTGTATGGACCATAATAAACTGGGGCCCATAATCAACTTCCCTTGAGAAGGAAGGGACTTCCAGAACACTTCATTGTGCTCATCCCGAACGTGTAACCCACACTGCCAGCTGCAGTCTTTGTCTTCATCAGCAAGTGCTTCAAGTCCTCTTCCTTTCCAGCAAGCAAGTGTGTGTCGTCTGCAAACTGCAGGCTGTTAATAATCCAATTCTGATGCTGCACTCATCTTCATATAATCCAGCTTCTCGGATAATTTGCTCAGCCAACACATTGTGCCAGTGTGGTGAGAGGATACAACCCTGACACACACCTTTTCAGATTTTAAACCATGCAGTATTCATTCCCTTGTTTGCACAACTGCATCTTGATCCATATACAAGTTTGCTTGCTGAAAAGGAAGAGGACTTGAAGCACTTGCTGGTGAAGATCAAAGATTGCAGCTTGCAGTGTGGGTTACAACTCAATGTAAGGCAGACCAAAATCCTCACAACTGGACAATAGGTAGCATCACGATAGAGAAAAGGTTGAAGTTGTCAAGAATTTTGTCTTATTTGGATCCACAGTCAATGCTCTGGGAAGCAGCAGTGAAGAGATCAAAAGACATGTTGCATTAGGTAAATCTGCTGCACAAGACTTAAGAGTATTGAAGAGCAGGGATTTTTTTTCAGTTTTATTGGTGCATAATCTACATCCCACAATTCAATTGTTCAATCATATCAAGAAGAATTGTACAATCATTACCACAACCCACTTCAGAACATTTTCTCCCCACCACGCCCCCATGATTAAATCACCTTTAAAATGAGTTGTATAATCACATTCAATTCTAGTGCTCCCTCCCCATCCTGCCTTCATTGTTTATCTCCGAAATCTTCTCACCCTCCCATCTCCCCCTTCCCACTCCTAGATCCCCTACAAATCCTTGCGTCAGTTATTATCTCTATGCATCCACTCCTTCTGTGCTTCCCAAACTGGTAAACCCAACAGAAACAATAAAGAACAGAAATGAAATGATGTGGTAAAGGTAAAATAGAAATATAAAGGAAAAAATACCAACAATGAGGGAAAAAAAGAAGACCTCTATCAATATGTTAAAAGCGTGGGAAGAGCTGTTTGTCATGGAACAAGCAAGAGCAAATTCAAGTTGGGTCTAGAGGGAGGTCAACTGGCCAAGTATCAATTTGTAATCAGGATTACAATGATCTATGTTTGATAGGAAGGCTGTTCCAGACCTTTGCCTGTAGCTAGAGAGGATCTGCCAGAGGCTTAATCTGCAGACAGATTTGGGGGCTCCCACTGTTCTCCACAGCCTTCCACAAATTGGGTGTTCACAATTTTAGCTGTCATATTTTCCCCTTCATTATATTTGAATTCTGTTATGGTCATCTTTGAATCTCACAAGCTGGTGTGTTTCTTCCGTGTGGACTGAGTTGACTCCTGCCTTAGATGGATGCTTGTTTGAATACAAGCAAGGATGTTACTTTGAAGTCTAAGGTGTGCCTAAACCAAGCCATGGTATTTTCCATTGCATCATACGCATATGAAATTTGGACAATGAAAAAGGAAGACAGTACAAGAATCAATGTGTTTGAATTGTGGAGCTTGAGAAAACTATCGAGAGTACTGTGGACTGTTGAAAGGATAAACAGATCTGTATTGGAAGAAGTAAGGCCAGAGTACTCCTTGGAAGCAAGGATGGCAACACTTCATCTTATATACTTTAGCTATATTGTCAGGAGAGAACAGACGCTGGAGAAGTGGTGGCAAAAAGAGGAAGACCTTCAACAAGTTGACACAGAGGCTGCATCAATGGGTTCAAACATAGGAACAATTGTGAAGGTAGTGCAGGGCTGTGCAGTGTTTCTTTCTGCAAATCAGGTGCTTAGAATTTAAGCTCCAATACAATTCCCTCCTCTGATCATGGAGCTGATTGTTTACAATCCTTAGATCATGCTGGCTGGGGTTCTCTTTCCATGTGGAGTTAACTTAGTTTTTGACAAGAGTACAACATTCATTCGATGAGAAAAAAGCCTTCTCAATAAATATTATTGGAAAAATTGAATTTCCATATGCAGCAAAATGAAAACCCATGCCTCAAACCATCCACCCAAAAAAAAGCAAAATGAACTAAGGCTCTAAATAAATAAATATGCAAACTAAAACCACAGAATTCTTAGAAGAAAAAGCAGGGGCTTTTCTTCTGACAATGAATTATCTAATATATTCAAGGTTCAACCGAGCAGGTCTGCGTTTTCTGGGTGCTGGGTGACTGGTGTCCTTTCATTAGCTGAATTGAAAGAGAACTTCCCTGGACCAGAAGCTTCAAAGCTGAAGCCCCAGCACCACCGAAGAATGCCTTGAAGATGCTTGCGTCAAACTCACCCAGGGTCATGCCCTCCTCGTCCAGGTCCTGCCCACTGCCATAGCGAATCTGTTTTTTGGGATCCGAGAGGATAGTAGAGGCTTCTCCAACTTCCTTGAACTATCAAATATAAAGACAAAACCCCAAGCAGCAAAGGACAAACCAAATAAGCGGAACCTCTTAATAAATTTAACTTTTACTCATCAAAATCCCTTACCAAAAAAAGTGTGTAAAGGTAAGCGACCGACTGAGGGAATATCTTCAGAATCCATATATCTGATAATAATCTAATAACCAAAACATATAAAAATCTTGAACAACTTAACAGAAAAGAGACAAACAGCACAGTCATAATATGGGGACACACACACATACACAAAACAAACAAACCAAAACCAAGCTTATGTATTTCACCAAAGAGAACACTCAAATGGCCACCAGACACAGGAAAATAAGTTCAGTGTCATCAAAACCACCATGCGATATCATTTCCCTCCGATTCGGGTGGCTAAGATAAAACAAGCACAAGCAAACGGAAAATAACCAATGTGGGCGCAGATGGGAAGAAATTGGTGGGAAGGTAAAATGGTATGGCTGTTGTTGAAAACAGTCTGGCAGCTCCTCAAAAAACTAAAATAGAGAGATAGACGCTTTGGTCAGCAATAAACGGGGTCTCGGCCCCACCTCTCCTCGGCCCACACTGGGCACGGACCTGGCTGGTAGATCATGGCCGCTCAGGAGGGTCTACAAGCAGTGTTCACAATCGTTTGTCCAGGTCTCCAGAGGGCAGCCTATGCACTGCATACCTGGTGAGGACGGTCAGCAGTTTCCCCAGAGGCCATCAGTGCCAGGCCTCGGGCAAGAGGCCTGATGCTTCACAGCGTCAGCCCTGGGGAGCTGCAGATGGCATGGTGGGGCTGCTAGGCCGCGCCTGCCCACAGGACAACCGCAGCAGCCTCACCAGGAAGATCCTCTCCAAGGTTGGCTGGAATCTGCGCAACCAGCAGGATCAGCCACGCTGGTTGAGCCAAGAGAGGCTGAAGGAGCACTTCTACAGGCAGTCTGTGGGCCGCTCTGGGACCCCACTGTTCTCAGTATCCGATGACCTTTCTCCAGTGGTCACAAGCTGGGAGAACTGTGACAGCCTGCTCATTGCGGCTGACCACCCCAGCAGAAACACGGGGGATAACGGCTACCTGACCCAGACGCACATGCTGCGGGCGCACACGTCAGCACGCCAGTGGGACCTGCTGCACTCGGGCTGGATGCCTTTCTCGTGGTGGGTGATGTCTACGGCACGACCAGATCGATGCCCAGCATCCCCTGTATTCCACCAGCTGGAGGCTGTCGGCTCTTCTGCAAGCACGCATTGTTTGCTGACATAAAGGCTGGAGAAGGCCTGCGGCTCTTTGAAGACAGTCCTCGCTGTGCCCATAAACACGAGACACCTCCCACGGAGGTCATGAAGCTGGGAGAGTTTGACCTGAAACAATCACTTACAAAACTTACGACGCATCTTTTTGGAGATGGACTGGAGATAAGACGGATAGACTGCTACTTTCCTTTTACTCATCCGTCCTTCGAAATGGAGATCAACTTCCATGGAGAAGGACTGGGAGTTCTTGGCTGTGGCGTGATGGAACAGCAACTGTTGACGTCAGCTGAGGCGGAGGAGAAGATTGGCTGCGCCTTTGGCCCAGGATTAGAAAGGCTAGCTGCGATCCTTTACGACCTTCCTGACATCCGCCTATTCTGGAGGGAGGGTGAACGGTTCCTGGAGCAGTTCTGTGTGTCTGGTATCAACCAGAGGGCGAAATTTCAGCCTCTTCGCAAATATCCTGCTTTGATCAATGACATTTCATTCTGGTTGCCCTCTGAGAATTACACGGAGAATGAGTTCGATGACTTCGTCCGAACAATTGGAGGAGACCAGGTAGAAAAGGTTGATCTTATAGACAAGTTTGAGCATCCAAAGACACACAAGACCAGCCCCTGCTACCGCATCACCCACCGACACACGGAGCGCACGCCGTCACGGCCGGAGGTGCAGCGGATCCACCAGACGGTGCAGGAGGCTGTGGTGCGGGTGCTGGGCGCGGAGGGCAGGTTCTGAGGGGGCTGCCTCCCCCAGCTGAGCCCCTCTGGTGGCCGAAAGATTTCCCCGAGGGGAAAACAACACTGTCCTTGACGCACGGGCGTCTTTGGGGAAATGGGTCGATTTCAGAACTTCCCAAAAATAAAGGCTCACTCTTGAGAAAAAAAAAAAAAGTCAAATAGAACTAACGATAGGATGCAGCAATTCTACTCCGAAGTGCACGCTCAAAAGACCTGAAAGCAGAGACTGAAATAGAAACGTGTCCACCAGCGTTCATTGCAGCACTTTTCCCAACAGGCAAAAACGTGGAAACAACCTGCGTGCCATCGGCGGAGGCATGGGCCAACCCAGCGGTGCCGACTGGAAGACCCGTCAGAGGGGGAGAGGAAGCCTTCACACGTGCTACGGCCTGAACGGAGGAAGAGGCCTTCCTGCCGAGTGAAATAAGCCGACCACAAACACGCAAAAATTCTGCGACCTCATTTGCACAAAAAAGACAAGCTACGGAGAACAAAATGTATTAGTAATTACCAGGGGCAGGAGAGAAGGGTAAGGGGTGGCTTATAGGTGATGGAAAATTTTGCATTGATTAAGAGTAGGATTGCATAATTATTTTAATTACTTTCAAAAGTTGTGTGACAGGTATATGTCCAACAATGACAACAAAAGGGAGAGTAGCTGATGAGCGCCTATGTACAACCAACCGTTTCAGGACATGGTTTAGAGCAGTGGTTCTCAACCTTCCTGATGCTGCGACCCTTTCATACAGTTCCTCATGTTGTGGTGACCCTCAACCATAAAATTGTTTTCGTTGCTACTTCATAACGGTGATTTTGCTACTCTTATGGATGGGGTGACCCCTGGGAAAGGGTCATTTGACCCCCAGAGGGGTCGTGACCCACAGGTTGAAAACCGCTGGTTTCGAGGTTTAAGGTCTTGGCTTCTTGGGACATCCCAGTTAATTAACCTAATGATGTGATGGCTGCTTTCTCCTTCCCCCTAGTTTGTTGTGAAGTGCCTGGGTCTTAAAATCTTGCAAGCAGTCATCCAAAGCGCTACAACTTGTCGCTTGGAGAAAGGAGAGTTAAGAACAGGTGAAGAAAATGCAATGAGTGGCTACTTGCTCCTGTACACAAGTGCCTCGTCTGCCAGGAGAGCAAAGTAACTGGATGGTGCCTGGCTACCTTATCGGACATTTGGATCCGATTCCATAGACGATTCCTGATCAAAAGGGGGAAATGCAAAGCAGAATTTAAATTCCAATGTCCTCTACGCTTTCTGGAGCCACAGATGATGGACGAACCCCGTGAAACGATTGCCCTGAGATAATCTTTCATCTTTCATCCAAAAATATCCCCCTAAAGTCATCTTAAAAACCAAACAACCATTCAGCTTAACTAATTTTTTAAAAAGTCTGTTTTGAGCATTATGCTCTTTAAAGAGCCATCTCTATGGGATGTGGGCAACAGCAACTGGAAAAACTGTCCTATACAGGATCCTTAAGGGAGAGTGAATTTACGTTACTGGGGGAGTAACAATTCAGAAAAGGATGGTGAGAATGGGTGCACAACAGAAAGAATGTCATAATTTTCACTAAACTGTACATGTGATATCTGCATACTATGTAGCAACTGTTGAATTGGTGTGTGTTGTGCTGTGCATGTTGTTAGATCCAATAAAGGGGTAGGTAGGTAGGACTGAGAGTCAGCAGAATGTCAAAGGTGACTTCATTATGAATTGAGCATTTCGGGGTTTCTATTGATAAGCTTTTTATTGATAAGATGTTTGGATAACTAATACGATAAAGACATACACCATTCATAAATTATCATATACTTACTTCATAAAAGCACGAGAAGGATTGCACAACTCAAAGATTATAATCAATGTTACTGATGTGTACGTACATGTGGAAACATGAACGGTGCATGTTTCACTATGTATATTCTCAACAATGACAAAATTTGTGAAAACCAAGTTCTATTTGTTATCTTCATTTCAGAAAAATCTCTATATTGTTATCATCAACACATCACCTCATCTCAGATATCAATGACAAACTCAACCACTTTTCTCAGGGCTTGCAGTTCTGAAATAGAACTTACAAATTTTAATTTGGAGATATTTTGCCTTGCTGAAGCAAGAACAACGGGAGTTTTTTTTTTAATTGTGATTTTTTAAAATCAATTTATTGGGGCTCATACAATTCAGCACAATACATAGACCAATTGTGTAAAGCACATCTATACATTTGTTGCCCTCATTATTCCCAAAATTCGCTTTCCTCTTGGGTTCCCGGAATCAGCTCATTTTCCTTTTCCCCCCTCCCTCTCCCTTCCTCCCCTCTCCCCCATGCACCCTTGATAATTTATAAATTATTATTGTATCTTAGGGAATTTATTTTTATTAAATACTTTTATTGGGGGCTCTTACATCTCTTATCCCAATCTATACAATCATCCAGTGTGTAAAGCATATTTGCACATATGCCACCATCATCATTTTCAAAGCATTCTCTTCCCACTTGAGCCCCTGATATCAGCTCGCTATTTCTTCTCCCTCCCTCCCTCACCCACCCTCCCTCATGAACCCTTGATAAGTTATAGATTATTTTTCCATATCTTGCATCGTCCTTTTGCCCCTCCCCCACTTCTCCCTTATTCATCCCCCTGGGAGGGGATTCTAGATTGATCCTTGTGATCGATTCCCCCTTTACCCCACCCCCCCACAACCTTCTCCTAATCCTCCTGGTATGTCTACTCTCCTTGTTGGCCCTGAGGGGTTTATCTATCCTGGATTCTCTGTGCTGCTGGCTCTTCTTATCTGTAGAGTGTGCATGCTCTGGTCTAATGCGATTTGTAATGTAGAATGGAGGTCATGATAGTGTGGGGTGAAGGAAGCACCAAAGAGCTAGAGAAAAGGTGTGTGCTTCATCAGTGCTATACTGCACCCTGACTGGCTCATCTCTTCCCTGTGACCCCTCTGTAGGGGGATGCCCAATTGTCTACAAATGGGCACTTGGTCTCCATTCCATGCCCCATTCACCTTGGGTATGATTTTGTTCTGGGTCTTAGATGCGTGGTACCTGATCCCATCGACACCTCATGATCACACAGGCTGGTGTGCTTCTTCCATGGGAGCTTTGTTGCTTCTGAGCTAGATGGCCACTTGTTTATCTTCAAGCCTTTAAGACCCCAGATGCTATATCTTTCAATAGCTGGGCACCATCAGCTTTCTTCACCACATTTGCTTATGCACTCATTTTGTCTTCAGCGATCATGTCAGGAAAGTGAGCATCACAGAGTGCCAGATTGTTAGAACAAAGTGTTCTTGTGTTGAGGCAGTACTTGAGACATGGCCCAATGTCCATCTGCAACCTTAATTCTTAACATATAGATATGAGTACATAGTTCTACTCCCCTCTCATTACATATATATTTACATATGTACATGCCTGTATTTAGACCTCTATAATTGTCCTTTGCCTCCTGGTTCTTTCCTCTATTTCCTTTTACTTTCCCCTTCTCCCACCATCATGTTTGGCCTTCATTCGGGTTTAGTAATTCATAGCTGCAACATTGCCCTTGATTGAGCCCCACTAGGCATCCTACACCTGTCTTTCCATTGATTTTAGTTCCCTTGTTGTTCCCTTGTCCCTGGGTTGGTCCCCACCCCCTCCTTTCTCCCACGTTCCCTTCTCCTGTATCCCCCCAGAACCATTGGTACCATTCTTCTTCTTTTAAAAAAAATCATTTTATTAGGGGCTCATACAACTCTTATCACAATCCATACATACATCAGTTGTGTAAAGCACATTTGTACAGTCATTGCCCTCATCATTCTCAAAACATTTGCTCTCCACCTAAGCCCCCGGCATCAGCTCCTCATTTTCCCTCTCCCTTCCCATCCCCCTCTCCCTCATGAACTCTTGGTAATTTAAAAATTATCATTTTGTCATATCTTACACTGCCTGACGTTTTCCTTCACTCACTTTTCTCTTGTCTGTCCCCCAGGGAGGAGGTTATATGTAGATCCTAGTAATGGGTTCCCCTTTCCACCCCACCTGCCCTCCACAATCCCAGTATCGCCACTCACACCCCTGGTCCTGAAGGGATCAGCCACCCTGGATTCCCTGTGTTTCCAGTTCCTATCTGTACCAGTGTACATCCTCTGGTCTATCCAGATTTGTAAGATAGAATTGGGATCATAATAGTGGTGAGGGAAGAAGCATTTAGAAACTAGAGGAAAGGTGTATGTTTCATCGTTGCTACACTGCACCCTGACTGGCTCGTCTCCTCCCCACGACCCTTCTGTAAGGGGATGTCCAGTGGGCTTTAGGTTTCCACTTTGCACTCTCCCTCATTCACAATATGATTTTTTGTTCTGATGATGCCTGATACCTGATCCCTTCAACACCTCATGATCGCAC